AAAAAAAAATCTTTATAGCTATCTACTTTATCTCTCACCTGAATCATCCTTCCATTCGCAGGGATCAATGTTTTTTCTCCCATGAGAAAGGTCCAGACAAGTCTTCTGATTGCTCCAGTTTGTCCCCCTTGTGATTATTGACACTCCCCTTCCCTGCCTTTTCCCACAGCCATTATTCAGCAGGTCACAGCAACTATCTTTTTTTTTTTTTTTTGCTGCTGTTAAATAAAATAAGTGGCTGTGAGTGGAGACAGACAAGTGTGCCGTCCTCACAGACCTCCAAGAGCGAAGAACACGAAGGATGTGTAGTGGGAGAACTGATAAAGCTGGATGATGATGAGAGTGGAACTAATAAGGCGATAGAAGTGTTCTTGGTGGAGAGAATGAAGGACTGGGGGGAGGAGTTAGAGACGTGGAGGTGGGATGATCCTATAAAAGAGGAGGAGAGAGAGAGAAAGGGGAGAGAAGGAAAAAGGGAAGAGAGTACTCAGACGGTGGAGACGGGCGTGGAAAGAGAAAAGATTGCAACCTTGGTAAAAACTTTCCCGAACCTGATGAAGGAGGACGGTTTGCTGCCTTTACCCAAAAAAGTTGCTAAGGTGGGCACGGGCGTCCAACAAGAGGGGTGGAAGTCAGGAATGGATCCGGCCAACCCTTCGGTGGTGGACAGGGGGACCCTTGGTGGAACCAGTCCTTTCCTTCCCAGATTAGAGGGATCGGTGGTGATACACCCATGTTGCCGAACAACTTGTACTGAGTGCGCCAGTCGGGAGCAAGAATTGGGTCACCCACTTTGGGGGAAAGAAGCAGTAAAAGTTAAGAGTAATGGACCTGGGGGCAACCCCAAGAAGTATTGTTTGATAAATGAAGACGAGTTGCCAAATCCGTTTAGTTCTGAGTTGTTTAATGATGGAGTTAATAAAACCAATCCTTTTTTGACTGTTACTTCGTCTCCGGCTGTCATTCCCGCCAAACCCCTGGGCCCGCCTACCCTAGAGAAAGAACCCAGTCACAGTGGCATAGCAAAACAGCAATGCATCTAACTAGCTTGGTCACATAACACCACCAATTAATCTCATTTATCTAGAATACTGCTGCACCAATAAGGGAAAAAACATAGATTTAAACCTGCAGAGTAGATGAAAATAGAGGAGGAAGTTTCTCCACTGTCTCTTTTCAGTGTCACAATCCACCAAATATGTCGGAGGGTTGCCATCTCAGATAACACCACCCATAGCTCTGTTTTGATGTGGACTAACTATCATACGGGCTACAGAACAGGCTAATTAGAAACACTCCAAATTGCACCAAAAACATGGGAGCCCTAGCACTGTGCCAGAAAGGAGCAGAATCGCTCTGAAAGGGCAATAGCTCTGAAACACATGTGTGGACACCATAATTTGATTTGAACCAAACAGCATCAAAAGAGACCCAAAGAGTGAGCTGTATGCCTATCAGGATGTGTTTTTAACTTTACAAGGGCGGCGAAATACATTTTACTGGCTGAAAAAGAGTGGCAAATGGTGTTCTTCTAGCCTCCACCTTGATTCAGGAATTTGTTGGCATCCCACTGCAGAAAACTGCACCCGCAACCACTGCTTCCCCTTCTTGGTAATAAAAACACAATGATAATTTATGACACCCAAATTAGTTGCTATGCCTAGCATAATTTAACATGTCGAGTTGTTTGTAATCCAGCAAGTCAATTCTGATTTATGGCGATTCTTTACAGGGGCATTGTAGGTAGAGAGTACTCGAAAGTGGTTTACCATTCCCTTCTTCTGGGGTGCCCTGCAGCTTCCCCAACGCCACACAGGTTGGCTGTTCAAAGAATCAAACTCCTAACCCCTGGCTCCACAGCCAGATTATCTATTTCACTGAGTTATGTATGAATACATGTCAACTATTTTGGCTGACTGAACTTATATTTGAGTGTCGTTAGAACTGTTAGGTTAAAGTGCCTATACAAGCAAGCCATAAGGTTTTTACAGCCAGTATATAAACCATACTTTAAATGGCTAGCAGACAAACGGTGCAATCCTGGGCCTCTGTAGTCAAAAGTCATTTGTAATAAATTCAATGGGATTTATGCGCCAATGAATGTGAATAGAATTGCAGTCTCATGCATTTGTTGCATTAAGAAAGCAAATTTCAAACCAATGGCTGGATGCTGCTTTATGTGCTATGCATCCGGGACAAGGCTGGCATGTTTTAGGGTGCCAGCTGAAGTCTCAGGAAATTGCTGTACTCCTCTGGTTTTCCAGGCAGGGAGAGCATGCATCACTGTAACAGATGTTTTTTGTCTTTGAGGTGCCTTCAAAATCTGCCCATATATTTGCCCTTATGCTGGACTTACTGGCTTCATCAGAAAGTGTTTGTATGTACAGTGTTCACATAATGTCAACATACTAAAAAAAACAGGAGAAAAGGGAGGGAGCATTTATAATATAAATATCTGCATCTCAGGATATAATACCTCAGCTCCTGGAGCTCTCTGCATCAGAAGGGCTTATGATTATTTCTGAACTGCCTTTAAAAGATGAGCTCTGACAGGGTGTGAGATCGGGACTGCCACCAGAAGAGGGGTTTTATCCTTCCCTGCCCACTTACAGTATACTGTTTGCTTTCTGGTGAAGCATTTACTGTGCAAAGAACAATTTTCTGGAAGGAAATCACCACAAAAAATGGGCTAATGTACCTCCGGATCCATATTGTCCACATGGTTGCAATTTAACAAAACAGTAATTATTATAATGCAGAAAAGGGAAATGGGGAGTGTTGGGCTGCAACTCTTATTTAATAAACATTTCACATTTGTCAAATCTAGTTTGTACCTATACCTTCTAATATCCTTGCTTGGCGTTAACATGCATGCATGAAAAAACATGTCTCCATCAGGTTTTTTAAAAAAGATGGATGGTCCAAGCAAGGTGATAGATTTACAACCAAATGTTGACTTTCTTGCGTCTGCTCTACCCCATCACCTATGAATGGGCAGAGATCTGCAGTGTACTTTTAAGTTTTGTACCCACTAGCTTGTTCTAAGCATTCGGAAATGGTTACTCCTTTTCTTACAAGAGCCGCTGTGATGTAGTGGATAGAGTGGCAGGCTGGGACTCAGGAGACCTGGGTTCAAATCTCTGCTCATAGGGGAGGGTGCGGCTAAAATTGTTCCATAAATATCTCATACACTGTGAAAATTCTGTTAGGCTTGCTGTGAGATGCAACTTAATAGCCTAATTCCTTTTCTTTCTGCTACGTGGTGGGGAAGGGACAGTACAGTATTTGTGTTCCTTCCTTCCAATGGGCATCTGTGTATACCAGCACTTGTACGCACAGTAATACTTTAATCTGAAAACTGGCATGGCATTGGTGAATCATGGCATTATAGCTGATGGTAGAAATGATGGGAACTGCTATTACCAGTACCTAGAAGGCCTGGAATTCCCCATCCTATGGCAATGTAAATACCAAATTGGATTTGATTCTGGGAAATGGACAGTGAGGGCTAGGATCTTGGGCAGGCAAGAGAATGCTTTCTGTACTACTGAGAAGTGTGTATATACGTTTCTGGAGAGAGACATTTGATGTTGCGGGCAATAACTGTAATGAACATTAAGCAATAGGATTTTGGCCATTGCGTCCTGGTGTTTGAGTGGAATAAAGTATTCATTAATCATAAAGAAATTAATTAGGTTTCACAGCTGCATATTTTTCACAGAGGCAGACCCTTATTAAGTGTGAAAGAGATCAGGATAATAAAACTCCAAATAATGCCACACTTTAAATTGCGTTTATAACCAGAGTTAAAGACAAGACAGTTAAATAGACCAGAACGGCGAACGTCTACTTTAACTGAGCACCCACGCCTGCTTCCCTTCATTTCACATATACACCGAAGAATTAAAATTTAAAGGTGCATGCATGGTTTGGGAACGTTTGGAAATTTCCCAGCACCACCATTCCGCCATCACCTCCTCGCTAAGAACCGTTTGCAAAAGCGCTGTGATGCACCCTCCTCTTTTTCTTATTGCCCGTTTCTCTTCTCGTCTGTTCGGGCCTTCTCCGGCGGACCGTTCACTGAAGAAGAAAAAGAAATCTGCCTGAGCTCCGATTCCCGAGACGAGAGAGCATCAAGTGCAGCCTTAAAGTGCCATCGCCCGAAGGCTGCAATCCTGTACACGCTCGCCGCGTGCGTGTCTAACCCCACCCCCCACCGCCGAGGAATTGTATTGGGGGGGG